CTCCGGCAGGCCCGGCCGCTGGAGCTGTCCAAGCTCATCTACTGCTCCCGCACGGTGCCGGAGATAGAGAAGGTGGGTCGGGACCGGGGACCTGGTGTCCCTGCTGTCCCCGGGACCTGGTGGCACTGCTGTCCCCGGGATTTGGTGTCCCTGGTGTCCCCGGGACCTGGTGTCCCCGTGACCTGGGGACACTGCCATACCCAGGACTTGGGGATACCGCCATCCTCGGGACCTGGTGGCACCGCCGTACCCAGGTCATAGGGACACTGCCGTACCCGGGACCTGATGGCACCGCTGTCATTGGGACCTGGTTGCACCGCCGTCCCGAGGACCTGGTGTCCCCCCTGTCCCTGGGACCTGGTGGTGCCACTGTCCCCAGGATTTGGTGTCCCCGGGACCTGGTGTCCCCGCTGTCCCCGGGATTTGGTGTCCCCCCTGTCCCTGGGACCTGGTGGTGCCACTGTCCCTGGGATTTGGTGTCCCCAGGACCTGGTGTCCCCGCTGTCCCCGGGATTTGGTGTCCCCAGGACTTGGTGTCCCCGCCGTCCCTGGGACCTGGTGTCCCCGCCGTCCCCAGGACCTGTGTCCCCGCTGTCCCCGCAGGTCATCGAGGAGCTGCGCAAACTCATGGACTTCTACGAGAAGCAGCTGGGGGAGAAGGTGCCGTTCCTGGGGCTGGCGCTGAGCTCCAGGAAGAACCTGTGCGTCCACCCCGAGGTGGGGACGGCGCGGGGACAGCGCGGGATGGGAATGGGGACAGCACGGGGACGGCCACGGGGACAGCGCGGGATGGGGACAGTGTGGGGATGGGAATGAGGACAGCATGGGGACGGGGACAGCGTGGGGATGGGAATGGGGACATCATCGGGATGGGGATGGCGTGGGGACGGGAATGGGGACAGCGTGGGGACGGGAATGGGGACAGCGTGGGGACGGGGACAGTGTGGGGACAGGGAGCTGGGGGCAACAGGGGGGTGGGGACGGCAGGGGGACGGAATGGGGACAGTGTGGGGCCGGGAATGGGGACAGCATCGGGAT